CAAAGGAGAGCATGATGGAATATGTGAAATGAAGCATTCTAATGTACTTGTGCATATGGCAAATAAAGTTTCTTTTGAGGCAGGTATTCAATAGAATGACCAATCCAACATGCTATTTCTCCATCCTGTCACACTGGCCGCTTTATAATTAATAATGGCAGACCGAAGCAGTGCTTCCTGAACGTTGAATATCTCTGCCGTGCTTCACTAGGCTGTTCTCTAGTGCATAATTATCATGTTTACTTCCCCCAGCTCCAAGCGGCGAGCCTTTCCTGGGTTGCCCTACATTTGCAGCCACACCTGCCCCCAGTTCACATTCGATTACCCCAACCACCACCTGAGCCCCCGCCCACCCCTCCCAAGGCGACACTCTGCTTTCACTTCCTCCCCTCACTTGCCACAACCCCCAGGGTTGGCTCCTTGAAGACCGTTCAGCAGTTCAGGATCTGAACACACTGCATAAAGGCGCTAAAGCTTCTCTCCCGACATGAAAACACGGCATGCAGTGCGTACAAACACCCCATTGAGGGGCTCTCTGTGCGCCTGTGACATTTCGGGAGGCAAAAAAAGGTGTTTTATTATTGCCTGGTCTGTACACACCTCCTAACGATCACCAGTTTTTGATTAGATGCCGGTTAATGCATAATGCAGATGAACAAATAGACAGGGAGGGTTTGGTGACAGGCAGGCGGGCGATTGCGACGGGGTCCGCGGAGTACGAGCCTATGAAAGGGAAGGGGGGGGGGGCGCAAGATGAGAGATGGGGAGGGAGCGAGAGGGGGAGGGAAACATCAAGTGCAAATGTGAGGAATGGAAAGGAGTGACAGCGGGAGAGAGGTGGGAAAAAGTAAAGATCAGCAAGATAGCTTGAAAAGTTGCACGGAGGGAAAGAGGAGGATGCCGGGAATGAGGACGGGGGAGCGATAGCGGCCTGGCAAGCGAACCACCATACCCCCGCCGCCCCCCCCCCCCTCGATTCATTCTGAGGTCTGCGTTAGCCTTCATAAAATATTAATGTTGGTTGTACTCAGTGCCATAATTGCCATCTCGGTGCCTGAATAATTTATGACCTGTACTGCTCACTCCGTCTCATTTACTGATGGCTCAGGTAACACCATATGTGTAGATGGCAAAGGCAGTAATGGCACTGCTTTGCATTTAGTAGCAGAATTAGATTACCCCCCCCCACACACACACACACACACACACACACCCCAGCCACCAAAAAACCAGTCCTGCACTCCCGCTTCCGTCTCCATTGACACCGCCGCTCCACTCGTTAGAAAATGTTAATTTGCGAGCCCGTGGTCGATCCGCCCCGCTGCAACAGTGTGCTGAGGAGCAGCGGGAGGGGCGTCGGTGCGGGGGGGGGGGTGGGGGTGAATATGCGTAGGACTCGCCGCGGCGGAGAGACACGTGTTGGTAAACAGGAGAGCCTGTTGCCGTGTGTAAACATGCGTTTGCTAGACTGGACTGTCAGCAGCTCCACGCTTTCGGATCACGGGTAAATCCACTCGTGGTGCCGGGGGGGGGACAGGACGGGACTACTTCTGTGATTTTTTTTCTTTTTTTAGTCGGAGTGGGCACCCTCGTGGCAACACACTTATCTGTATGATCCATAGGTTCCGGGTTCGAGTGCTGGGCTGTGTTACCCTTGAGCAAAGCCCTGCTCTCCAAGTAGGGAAAACTGTATAAATGGCTTTGGATAAAGGACTAAATCTCCCCTCTTTTGGCAGGTTAGGCAAGTCCATGTTATTAAAAGGATAAGGGCTTGATCCCTGGCTGCTCCCGCTCTCATTACATAAGAAACTGATAACCGCTGAATCCCAGCAGCGCCGAGAGCGGCGGAACAATTATAAATGATCCTCCATGCAGGGTCATCTTGGAGCCAGTGGGGGGCGCCGCTGTGACGGCTTGCAGTCATTTTTAATTGAATTTTCTTAGGCTTTGCTGGTCGCTATGGGTTTTACCACTCGGAATTCCAGTTTAAATCCAGCTTTCCCGCTCCTAGTCCGAGATCCAGTTCTGCAGCTCCTAGTCTTCAGTAACCCTAATCCCTCCGATTTTTATCTGTTAACAACCTTCTCTAATTGTCAGGCCCTTAACGCTTCACGCTACCATAATCTGGCTTGTTCTGGAGCCGTCAGCTCCCTGTCGACTGTGACCTCCGGAGAAGCCTTTTGTAGTAAGTGCTGCAGCTGGGGCCCTAACGGCAGGCGGGGCCCTAACGGCAGGCGGGGTCCTAACGGCAGGCGGGGCCCTAACGGCAGGCGGGGCGCTAACGGCAGGCGGGGCCCTAACGGCAGGCGGGGCGCTAACGGTAGGCGGGGCCCTAACGGCAGGCGGGGCCCTAACGGCAAGCGGCGCGCTAACGGCAGGCGGGGCCCTAACGGCAGGCGGGGCCCTAACGGCAGGCGGGGCCCTAACGGCAAGCGGCGCGCTAACGGCAGGCGGGGCCCTAATGCCGCAACATCTAGCGCAGTCATGGTTCCGCTGGGTGGAGAAGCGGCAGGATTTTAATAAGAGTAACGTCAAAATTTGTACAGGCTCGTTTGCGGACCCCTCCTGCTCTGGGAGGGGGGGATGTGGCGGCTCGGTTTTGGGGAGGATTTGGAAGCTGGCAACTGTGAGGGTTAGCCTGCGTTGCGGGGGGGGGGGGCTTCGTGCTCTGCTGTGAGGAAGGGGATGGTAGGGGAAAGGAGGAGGGGAGAAGGGGCGTGGCTAAGGAGGGGGTGGGGCAAAGGAAGGAGGGTGGGGCAAAGGGAGCAGGGGAGAAGGGTGGGGAAAGAGGGAGAAGGGCAGGGCAAATGAAGGGTGGCACAAAGGAGTGGAGGGTAGGTTAAAGGAGATGGGAAAGGGGCAGGGGGAGGAGGAAAGGCAGGGTAAAGGAGGAGTGCAAAAGGAGGGATGATGGAGCCAAGGAAGAGGGAACTGGGAGTCAGATGGTGTGATGCAGAGGAGAGATGCACAGTGCTGTGAGCTGCCTGTGGTATCTGTCTGCGCCTTCAAGCGGTCAGTGTCACAGACCCCCCCAAAGCAAAGAGCCAGTCTCCTCCATTAGCTCTGGATGTATGGAGGTGTGGGTCCTTCACCGACGTGCGTGTTTGGGCCCGTGTTCCCAGAGCGCTCCAGGATCCACTGCGGGGGGGGGGGGGGGGGGCTCTCCATGGCACTCCAGGGAGCTTTACATTCCGTTCTGAAACCAGAACGATCCGTGCCGCAGTTCCACTAAATCCGTCCCGGGTCAGGAGGTGACCCCGCATATCTCCGGCGAGGAGTAATTAAGAAGACTGCTGGCGCGAACCTAGGAAACGGCCGCTAATGAAGGAGGGCTTTCCCGCGACCAGGAGCCATCGCCACGGCAACCCCGACAGCCGCGTGTCGTCACGACTATGGGAAGAGCCCACGGCTTCCGGCAGTCGCTGAGGAGACGTGGCTTGGGGGGGGATGTATCCAGACTGGCGGTAATGAAAAGCCGCAGAGGGGGAAGACCGGCGATGGCTGGGCCGGGCCAAGTGATGGCGCTGTCACCATGAACCGCCTGCTATATTAAAACACGATATTTCTTTATCCCCGTGATTCTCACCAGCAATTCCGGCTCCAACGCCCTGTGCAGAACTCCTGCTATTTATCTCTCGGTCTATTTGTATATTCCTGTTTTTCTGTGAGCCCATGTCAGTCACTGTCACTCATCAGCAGCCGTGCAGGGCGGCGGGGTTCTGGGGGTGTTCTGTGAGCTTGACGGTTTTTTTCATGTTTTACACCAAATCTGACATTTAGGACACGGTGGCAGTTTACACTTGTTGATGCTCTACTCTGATTGGCTGCGGCTGGGGTAGAATGGAGGACGGACACGTACAGACACAGACAGACGCGGGCAAGTTAGGAGGCAATTACGGATTCCGGAAGTGGAGAAGATGGGCTGGCATCCAGCTAGCGCCCCCTGTTGGTAGAGCAGTGTTCCAACCTGATGGATGAACATAGAGACCATAGCTGTGTTCTGGTTATGCTAAAACTTCCCGAAAAAGTATATATATAAAAAAAAAACAGTTTTTTTGGCAAACTTTTGGCAGCGATGGAAAGAACAGGATGCAGACGCGTTTTAATCAGGAGCACAGAAGAAAACTGCCGTTCAAATCCCGCACATCCATGGGAATAACAGGAAGAAGGGCAGCGCTGACAGACATTACTGGGGGGCTTAATCCTAAATTGCTGGATGATGGGTGCGCTGGGAGACCCGGCTCTGGTCCTGCGTGGAGACGCTTCGCCGCGTTTGCCGTGTAATCGGCAGTGATAATACTGCAGACTGAGTGTAAGACAGACGGGATGGAGAGAGAGAGAGAGAGAGAGAGTGCCGTCTGTGTGAGAGTTTGTCATATATGTGTAAGACAGGGGAGGATGTGTGTGTGTGTCCACAACGTGATAAAAAAAAAATGATGTTGTGGGGATTACCTTTTTGGTCCCCACAAGGGGAAATTCAATTATATGAAAATCATTAGCATTAACATTTTTCCCACAGAAGTGAATGAGCGGTCCCCATAAGGATAGGTATACCCAACGTGTGTGTGTGTGTGTGTGTGTGTGTGTGTGCGTGTGCTTGCAGTGGTGGTTTATTAGGCAAGGTGACATTCGGGTCACAGACTTGGGTGTCCGGTTGCCAGTTGCCAAACACTGAGCCTTTGACAGCAGGACCTCTGTCAGTCCCGGGATGATTGACGCGTCACAGCCCTCAGAGCAAAGTGCCACTTAGTCAGCAGGAGCATCTACAGTGACATTTAACTGCTATCAGCTGGCCTATGTGAACGGCCCTTCTGTCCGCGGCAGCGAGGCTCCGACCATGGCCACTGGGTGGTCTGGTTTATGGTGACCAGTTAGATTCCACACCGGAGAAGAAACGGTCTCCAAGGCTACTGCATCCCGTTACCACCGGTTACCGGATGTGATTGAACTGCGTATCCGTGGAAACTCACTCCTCACACTCGCTTCTCTTCTCTTTGCAGGTTCTTCCTGAAATTCTTCCTGAAATGCAACCAGAATTGTCTGAAGAACGCGGGGAACCCACGGGACATGCGCCGGTTCCAGGTACAGGCATCCCCCCCCCCCCAAAGAAAAATCAGCATGCTGACAGAGGAGGGTTTGAGAGTCGGTTGCCTTTGTCAAGTCCTGCATTTTTTAAATAACATTTCCCCAAAACCTGCTGCTTTGCACACAGAAAGATGTGGGTCTGCATGACTTACAGTTAAAAGTCCAGAAGTGCTACTTACTTACTTGCCTTACACGCCATTGCTGATGCTGTGTGAGTCTCTCTTTCTTAGCTTTCCTCTCTGGTCCCATTTCCCTGGCTTCTCTTTCCTCTATCCTCCTTTTTCCATCAGCTTTTTCCTCCAGTCTTTACTGCACACTTTTGACACAATGGTTGCATAAGTGAAAGGGTTCACTTTATAAGTTAACTCAGGGCAGCAACTCCGCCCACCTTACACTGGCTCCGCCCACCTTACACTGGCTCCGCCCACCTTACACTGGCTCCACCCACCTTACACTGGCTCCACCCACCACACAGTGGGTCTGCCTTTTTTACAGTAACCTTGCCTCTCGTGCAGTCTCTCTGCATACCTTATCCGGACAGTTTGCCTATTGCAAACTGATTCCACGTACAACATCATAACCCAACATCCTGACCTTCCATGTAGTTACTCCGGCCATTATCCTAAACTCCGCCCATCTTACTTTGACCCCGCCCACCAAACAGTGACCCCGCCTCCTGTGCGTTGACACCTTCACAGCCAACACAGTTGCTTCCATTTGTGCTCGTCTCACGGGCTGACAGGGCTGAGCCCTGGCCAGTATCGCTGATTACCCTGCCACGCCGGCCTGTGCTTCTGCATCTCTCTCTCAGCCAGCAGGAATGCGCACAGGCCAGTTTAAATAAACCATCACTTCCTGTGAAGAAACGTGAAACCTGGACCCCGATCCACCCCTAGAGCGTGACCCCTTGGGCCTCGAGACCTCTGCACAAACACGGCCCCTCTGTCTCAAAGCTCATACCATAACTTACCCCATGGGAATCACAGCCGTCCTGCCTGAACTCACCCCTTCCTATCTTTTAACAGCCTCAAAACTACCGCACACCGCCTGCCGCTGAGCTTACGGGGCTCTTAAAGGGACCAACCCCCCCTCCTGGTAGCATGTCACCGAAACGCTCTGGATGTAGGCTGCTTGCCGGCGTCGTGCTAACCATGTAATGAGAGTTTCTGCAGACAGCTGGGCTTGTTAACCGCTCTCGGGAAACCCCCACGTCATCCCCCAGCCGTCTCCTCTCCGGTGGATCTTAATTGGGCTGTGCCAGACAGGAAGTGATATGTCCAAATAGTATTTTTCCGTTCTGAATTATCCCCCCGCACCTCGCCCCAGAGTCGCACTCTGCACCATCTCTCGGGCCGCTCTAGAGCGTTCTTCTTCTTTCTGACGGAACATCCCTGCGTGCCTTGTCCCCCGTCCAGGCCCGGGATGTGCAAACAGGAAGTTAGTGATTCAGCGTCAACAGCAACCCTGACTTAGATTTTTTTTTACAATTTTCGGATTCATTACTTTGACCTGTTTATCGTGGGGGGGGGGGACACTCATTTACAGGTCCACTAAGATCTTTATGATCCTTAGTAAATCTTTGTTTCTTCATTATTGGGGCTATAAAGTCTCTGACAGCTTCTCTATGGTTCAGAAACTCACTAAAGTGAAATTTTTATTTAAAACTTGCTAATAACAGTCAAAGTAAAAAAAAAGCTTTTTTAGATATTTGATGATTTTGCCTGATATACTATAAAGGCTATTCTGGCATTCAAAATTATTTAACAGCTATTATGGAGTAGATGGTCTTAACAAACATCAGTGTGTGTCTGTGTGCTGCCCAGTCCTGTGTTAAGCTGATGTATGTGACACCCATCAGAAAGGAGTAATTTTATGGAAAAAAATGTTCTGGAATAGAGCCAGAGAGAGGGAGAGAAAACCAAGAGGAAATGGAGACTTGGAGGGTGTCTGTCCCGGGCAGAGCAGAGATGCCGTTTGCTAAATCGGGTTCAAGCACATCCTCTCTTAAGGGGCGGTGACCTCTTGAGGCTCTCTAACAATTTGGACAAGAGGCTCTCAAGTCAGGGCAGATTGGGGGGCGGAGGCCTGGGGGGGGGGCTGTATCACTAATCCAAACACAATAGTACTCAAGGCACCAAGGATCCTTAATGGTGCTGAATTTAGTCACGTTAAACTGTTCATGTATGCATCTGTGTGAGAGTGTTACCATATATGTATTCATGTTAGACTGGGACGCAGTGTGTATCAGAAAATATTAACTGCACTGGAAAACGCAGTGGTGGTTTATTAGAGAAGGTGACATTCGGGTGACAGACTTGGGTGACTGGAAAATATTAACTGCACTGGAAAACGCAGTGGTGGTTTATTAGAGAAGGTGACATTCGGGTGACAGGCTTGGGTTACTGGAAAATATTAATTGCAGCCATATTCACAGAGACCAAGTCAGACACCACACATACCAGCTTAGAATGACCTAGAACCTTCTCAGACAGGCAAACACGCACACGCACCAGCTCGGGATGGTCTGGTACCCTCTCAAACGAGTAGAAACGCACAGAGACCTCACATGTAGGTTTGACCCTGCATTGACTACATCACCAGCACGCAGCCGGAAACCTCAGACCACGACAAGGGTGAGTTATGCTGCCCTGTCCCTCCTCTCATGGGCCGTCTTCCCCGCAGGTGGTGGTCTCCACGACGGTCAGCGTCGACGGTCACGTTCTCTCCGTGTCCGACAACATGTTCGTGCACAACAACTCCAAGCACGGCCGGCGAGCCCGCAGACTGGACGCCTCGGAGGGGACGCCGTCCTTCCTGGAGCACGGTACGCATCTGATCTCCTCCCCGGATCTGCGTGATCCTGTCCCGTCTGAGGAAAGCACGTTTAAAAACGAACGTGTGCCATTGAGCTCCACTACAAAGTGCAAATAACTAATTAGCTGGTTAGTCGCTTGACCTAAGTTGGCTCAGTTGGTAGAACATTACACTGCTGACGCGATTTAATATAAAACTCCACAGTGGATTTCCTTAATCTAATCTTATTCCTACATGTGTCCTTGTGTTCCTGAGTGACTCGCGATGTTAAAATAGACCTTTGGGTTGACCTCAATTGCAATGACACTAATGACCACAACAGAGAGTATCAGGACCTCCTGACCTCAGCTAGATAGTAACCTGCTCTTCTTCTGCTCCGGCTTGGTGGTGCTGTCCCATCTCTCTGTTCTTCGGGCACGTAAGCGGGCACCAAAAATCCTGCCTTTTTTTTAGAAAGAAACCTTGTTAATGAAAGCGGCCGATTTCCACGTCACACCCGGGTATGTCTGGAAGCTTCCGACGTGGGAGATTTTTGGAAGGTCTTCAATCGTCCCCCCCGCCAGGCACGTCCGGGGCTCAGTTGGAAGCCCCCGTTCCGTGAGGCTGCTCCAGCAAACAGGGGTGGGGGGTGGGGGGAGAGGTCTGCACAGTCTACTGCATTGACAAACAGAGGTGTTACGTGGGACCGCAGTGAGAGAGAGAGGGAGAGAGAGAGAGAGAGAGAGATGGCCGGGCTGGTCACCACCCTGAGATAATGCCCTCTTAATTGGCTGGGTGAGTTTGGGAAAACATAGCAGCTTCATTTGTCAACCCCCACCCTGACCGCCACCTCGGCCCCAGCCCCCGGGGAAGCCCCGGTGCCGGACGCTGTTAGCCCCCACGCTGCGCTGCTCCGTTACCAGCGGCTGGTCTGGGCCGGGACCACCGAAAGGGCTCTGGCAGGCTGGCGGCCGGCTGGGCGGAGACGGTGCCCATGTCTGTCTGAGCTGGTGCCCTGGCCCTGAAAGGCGCAGCCCCATGCCTCTCCGCCATCTGTTACAACAAAAGACTCCATCTAATTAATGCGCTGACCTGCCTCTCTGCCCAGCCTGGGCCTCGTGGTGGGCAGGGCGGAGATGGCGGCTGATGAAGCTGTCCCCTTTGTCAACGATCGACCGTATCCGGGCCCGGCCTGAATCTCTCAGCTCCACTGTTCTCCTGACCACACCTGTCCGCCCCCCTCGGCTAGGGGAACCCCCCCCCCCCGACACACCAGGATGTGTGTTGTCACAGCTCTTTGCCAGAAGGTTCCAGAACAAGCCTCCCCAGAAGTGCGCTGTGCTCTCGAGTAATCCCACCTTCGATTTGGAGTGTGGTCTACGTTCACAGCGTCTGCGTTTGGTATTTGCTGGGTGTAAATTACAATGTAGTTGTAAAGCAGCCGCTGACTGGTGTCGCCCAGTAGGGGGCGCTCGAGAGGGCGTGCCTTCCATTCCCCATTCGGTGGCCTCCTCTCCTCATAGGATATGAATGACAACAACTTATTTCCCCTGTGGCTCGGTGACTTTGAATTTTCCGTGGTTTTTGTGGCTCAGGCTGCCGTTCATCGCTTTCCTCGGCGGGTGACACTGGGGACATCCATGCCAGCGCTCTTAAAGAGACGCGCGCCGGCAATTCAGAAACTGATTTTCGGAGTTAAGCAAATCCAATTAGCTTCCCATTCTCGTATCTTGGGTGTATGAAATGACAGAAGTACATCGCATTTATTTTTCATTTTGATTTAAGAGTGTCTCAGGGGAAGTTGAGGTTCTGATTGTGTTTTAAAAGAGATTAACGGGGGAATGAAGTGTCTGCGTCTTTTCCGAGAGCAGGAAATCCGTAGCAGAAGCTCGGAAAATTTAATCTCACTGATTCTTCATGTGCTCATTTCCTGTGCCTTCAAATCCGACGATCGGGCACGTTAGTTGGGCACTTAGAGGGCCGATATGGGGGCGGCGTGCGGCTCAGTGGGTTAGGATGCTGTGCGTGTGACCGGAAGGTTGCTGGTTCAAATCCCAGGGTCAGCCTGGCGGTTTCAGTGCTGAACCCCTGAACAAGACCTTTAATCCACAGTTACTATATGACCTAGCTATCTTAAAATGCTCATTGCTTTACATCATAGCATCTGCTAAGCAGATTTGCTGTCTTAACCTCGTAACAATGACAAAGTTTGTCCGTCATGTTTTGGTTGGGCGCCCTGAATGAAAGAGTTAACGTTGCATGGCTGCTCAGTGCTCGATATTTCCCACTATATCCATGTCGCATTTTTATAAATCAAGGTTTGAATTTGATATTGTCAATTCAAATATAATATTGTGTGCTATCACTTGAGTTGAGAAGGAGATAAATAGCCTGGGAAATAAAGGATAATGTTTAAGAGCACCTGGTCACCCGCTTCTGATATTGACTGCTTGGTCGGCTCTTCTACCTACGACCTTCATCTGAACCACAAAGCAAACGTGGGGCCATCTCTGGGCCTGTCAAACTTCCCCTACTGCCCCGCCCCCTACCCAGATAGCCGAGGCCCATTCAGAAGGTAGGCAGCTTCCTGTTGGACAATATTCAACTCAGAAGGTAGGCCGCTTCTTATTGGGCAATATTCAACCCAGAAGGTAGGCCGTCTTCTTATTGGACAATATTCAACTTAGAAGGCAGGCCGCTTCTTATTGGAGGAGATTCATCATGAGCCCGCTCCGGTTTGGAGGGACACCAGAGAGGGCGCTGGTGGGAGGGGGCGTCCCGAGGCGGCACAAGATGGATGGCGAGTGCTCCCCCTCCCCCGGGAAGGCGAAGGGTCCAGCGGGAGGGGCAGAACGGCATCCGCGCGCGCGGCAGCCCGGGGAACAGATGGCGTGGAGGGAGGCACCGAAGTTTAATCCCATCAGATGGATTCACGCTGCACCATCTGGGTAATCCATAGAGAAGCCGAGCCGCGCCAAGATTACCGACACAGATTGCTCCAGTTCATCTTGCTCATCCTGCCCCGTTTCTCCTGCTGGGAAATTGCGCCGTGCTTCGCCCCTGTGGCCCCCGCCGAAGGAGGAGATCAACAAAGGAGCATGCAGACACCAGGGAGAGACGTCCCTGGTTTGCAGTAACGGTGAATCAGATTCTCTTCGTTCCACACACAAGTGTGTGACAGACGTGTCGGATATTTGTGGAAGAAACAATATTAGAGCATATTTATTTGTGTTGTGGGGGGGCTGTCTTTCAGAAGCAAAAAAAAAAAAAATTTATGAGACACAGCATTCACAGGAAGTCCAGCTGCATCAAACATAGCCTTTACAGGGAGTCATCAGATACAACCTTCGTGGGGAATATAGTTTCATCAACCGTAGCCTTCATAGAATAATCGGCATAATCGGACATAGCCTTTATAGAGAGACCAGCTTCATCAGGCACAGCCTTCACAGGGAGACCAGCTTTATCAACCACAGCCTTCACAGGGAGTCCAGCTTCATCAGAAACAGCCTTCACAGAGAGACCAGCTTCATCAGACACAGCCTTTACAGAAAGACCAGCTTCATCAGATACAGCCTTCACTGGGAGATCATTCGTTGATGTAAAATGTTATAAATAATACATTAATTAATAAAATCTGTAAAATATGCAATAACTCCGCCTGCCAAGATGATATGAATGTGCCCCCGCTGGACCCTTCGCCCCCCCTTTGCAAAGGCTACCTTTTAATAAACATCTCTAGTAATGGAGCTGCCCCATTCCTGCTCTGGGGGTGTTCCTCAAACTGCAAAATGCCACTCCCCCCCCCCCATTCCTGGGCACCACATCCAGCAGAGTGAGTGAGCATGTACAACGCCCCCCCCCCAGTGCGCCCGCATGCCATCTGCTGCCAGAGGCACATCCGTGTGCCAGTTGCAGACACCCACCGAGCCAGCAACCCCCCCCCCCGTCTCGCCCCCCTCACCCCTCCGGATAAGCTTTGACGCTGTAGCAGTCTGACCGCTTATAAATGATATTTCCCCTTTACTTTTCATCAAAACTTTAAGCTAATTGGAACTCAAATAATTACCCCCCACCCCCCCCTACCCGAGTGCCTTTGGAACCCAGCCATCAGAATCCGGGCCGAAAGTTCAGCGCCCAGAATGAAATTTAAACCAATTAACGCGTCAGATTAATGGCTGCTTGCCGTTATCTCCTGGTCTCCCTGGACGCCTGGCCTTTGATCGAGGACCTGCGGGGGGGGTCGACCAGCTTCTGAGAGAGTGGGGGCATGGCTGACATTTACACGCCGCCCGTAAAACAATCAGTGGCCGCTGACCCTATCCTTCGGGACTGACCGTGTTTAATAACGGCGTCCGTGCATGCGCATGTGTGCGTGTGTGTCTGATCAGTCCAATTAGCATCTCTGTGAAGTCAGCGCCGTCGGGACAAAGGGCTCAAACGGCACGGTGGTCTCTGCCAGGCCCTGGGACCACCTCAGCAACCACCGCCCCCCCAGCCTGACACCCGCGTTCCTTAATTGTCTGATCCACACTGTAGGATCCGGTGGTGATTCTCCGGCTGTAACTGGCGTCCCTAGCGACAAAACACGCTCTGACTTTCTCTACAGTCTGTCTAATAACCCATGTCGTGCTGTAAATGTTGCATGCGATTATTGGGCATACGAAGGCATCCTACTGACACCAAAGTTCCCTACCTGCCCCCCCCACCCCATGCAAGTCTTAGGCCTGGGGATCAGATTTGTTCTGCCTCTGAATCTAAAAAGATTTAGCTTTTATGATGTGTAAGACACCTTCTGGAAAGGGTGCACTATCCGGCGGTATCGATGAGTAAGACTAGAGGAAGTATAACGGCATCTGAAATGCGAATGTCCCGCGAATATAACTGGGTCATGTTTCGCTTAAACTGGTATATGGGGCTGTTTCCAATTCTAACCCACATCTGTGGCCAGTCGAGGCCATGGTGTCGGTTTTACAGCTCGCCTGGAATTTTTCTTCGCTCTGCAGCGCGCAAATCACATCGGAGGCTCGCGTGTCGCGTGTCGACCACCGACGTCTGAGTAATAGACACCTGCAGACACAGGACGGTGACGTGCGTAAACGCAGTGCATGACAGAGCGCGGCGTCAAGAGAAAAATGATTCGATGGTGTTTTAGCGTATGACCGGTTTATTTGCAGGTTCCGTGGCGTTTATTGGCGCTGATGCATGTTGGGATGTGTGTGTCATCGCTGTCCAGCGAAAGACACGTATCTCCAAAAAATTTCAGGAACGTGAAAAAAAACACATTTTCTCAGAAACTGGTTTACAAAATAACCCTAAAACAACGTGAGACACCCTTCGCACCACAAAGAGACCGATCTTTACACAGCTGTCAGTGAACAGTTTAATGTTTTAAATGGACTTACATGGATTGTTGGTCAAGCAAGGCAAATGTGTTAGTGTGAACAAGATGCAAAGTAACATCGCTTTATATCCTCAACTAACGATGATGTTAGTTAGCTAGCTGTCTAGCCACAAGTTAAAATCGATAACTTCATAAAACATCTTTTCATTGGTCAATCCGATGTCAAACGCTATAAGTAGAGATAGGAGAATGGACGTATTCCATCGCAGGGCATTCGTACGGGCTGCACTCATACGAGGCTCCTCCCCTTCCCCCCCCCCCCATCTCCCCATGCGCATGCACCCGGAAGCAGCTGCACCGTGCATCAAAGCCATCAGCCCCAGCGAGGGTTGGACAACAGGGGGCGCCACCGTCATCATCATCGGTGACAATTTCTTCGACGGCCTCCAGGTCATCTTTGGGACGATGCTGGTCTGGAGCGAGGTGAGCCATCTCCTTCCAAGCTTAAACGTCTGTAACATACAGAACTGGCATAGGAATTTAGATCGCAGAACAAAGCAGTCAGACTGACGTCGAAGCGGCCATTTTTAAACTGCTTAAAAGGAAACGTGTCAGAGGTGAGATGCTTATATAGTAAAAAAAATGGACGGGGATGCTCTCATACAGGTCATTTTCCGCAGACCCTATCTGTTACTTCGTCTCGAAACTGGGTTAGCCTCCCTCCCGAAAATAATTCTATTTTTAAAAAGCCTTTTCCTTGATTGGTGAGAAGCACGGCCGGCGAAAGACCAGTGCAAAGCGTGAGAGAGGAGGAGGCATTAAGAAGACAGTGGCCCTTAGTGGCCCTTGGTGGCCCTTAGTGGCCCTTGGTGGCCCTTAGTGGCCCTTGGTGGCCCTTCATGGCCCTTAGCGGCTCTTAGCGGTTTCCACCATGCCCCTCACCTCTGATCATAACACCCTTCAGGAGCATAAGACAATCATCCTATTTAATATTAAATTTGCCTCCAGTCGGCTCAGTCCGAGAGACTTTATTGGCGTGACGTACAATTTACTGCGGCAGAGCACTCTATCAAGACGTTTAATACGTTTAATGCATCACTTTGACGTTGAGAGATTAATCGCATCCTGGGGGGGGGGGGAGCTTGTCAGCCCCCTACCTCTTGGGCTAGATGTTCGAAAGTGGGCCAGCTGGGTACCTGTTTCCCATTATTCCTGCATTTGCTCGCAGGTCCGTGGGCCGCTGTGATCTGGGAGTGCAGTGTTCTGAAGCTTTAGACCAGTGTTTCCCCAACCTAGTCCTCAGGAACTCAGAGACTTCCGACCAGGAGCTGGGCTGGAAATGGGAAAGATGGGAAAAATGTGGACGGTCGGGAAGGGAGCTGGGAGGGAGCAAAAACATGGACCGACTTTGGGTCCCCGAGGACCGGATTGGGAAACGCTGCTTTGGACAGTCTGGGGTCTAACTGACCCCCTTGTCTCACATGAGCCGGGGCTTCAGGGTCGTGGGGATCCCTTAGCATTCGGTGGTCTTGGAGGACATCTCCTCAGCTCCCATTCGCGCAGGTCTGCTGAAGACCTCGCCCCATTGGACAGCTGGCCTGGCCGGGAATGATCACATGACACTGCTATCTGTCTGCTGCCAGCTTCTCACTATCTAAGCCCCCTTCTTCTTCACCCGTCGTCCAGGCTTCGAGTAAAGATCTAGCAGGAGTGTCTGACACGTATGAAATGCTGTTATGTCTGACGGCTGTAACACTGAGCAGCAGTCAGACTATAACATGCATCTGCTACGCATCTGGGAACGATTTAGTGCTGCAGACCCCTTCCCCTGCACCCCCACTCCCAAAATGTGTGGGCAGTTTGACCCCTGACCTCAACCCCCACCCCCACCCCCTACGCCGCCTCCACCCACCTAGCTCCAAACAGGGGGGGGCCACCCATCTGCAATGTCTCCAGCATCTCCTGATGGTTAGATGCAGCAGATGTTCTGGCTAACAAGCGAGAGTTCGACACGTGGGGGGGGGGATGCTTTTGACCCCCCAGTTCCTCACCAATCCATCTGTTGGAGGTGGTGAGGATCCCCCCCCCCCCCACCATCCACGATTTTCTTTTCTTAGAACATTAGGGGCAAATAAATTTACAGGATGGGGAGCAAATAAAGAGGGCAGAGTGTGTTTCCTCCCCCCTCTCTGTCGGCCAGGGGAGCTGGGGCCTAATGAGCTGATCCAATCGCAGCCAGCCCCCCCCCCCTCTCTGCCAGCGAGGTATTTTAAAACAATCACGGGTGTGTGTTTATTTTCACAGTAAATTGGGTATTATACTGGCCCAGCTCGCAGCGCCCAGTGCTCAGGCCGCGGCTCCGTTAGCACGCGCTCAACGTCACGCGTCTCCTCCTCATGTTCCGCTTCACTTTATTAGCACAGTAATTAAGGTTAATATTTAAACTTAATTAGAAGTGTTTGCTTTTTTCTCTCCGGTACCAGAATTTTCTAATACCGCCGTAGCTTCACAGATTTGCTCGCCGCGGCCGGGTTTGGACTCTGGAGTATAGGAACCTCACCCCGCACTATGGGGGTAAATTTGTCCATGGATTACAGTGTTTGAGTGCTATTTGAGTCTATATTTTTGGGTATGTGGGGACACAGGGTTTGGGGGGGGGGGTTTTGCGCCCAGGCAGCAGAGTTTGACTGACACCCTAATTCAGTGACAACAATTAAAGGCTTGATTCACTTTACAAGGATCCTCGAGAGTGAGAGTCCAGGCTGGGAGCCTGTTCCTAATTGCCTGTCATTCCTGGCTGTGCAGGCGAATTGTAGGGGGTTGGGGTGGGGGGCAGGGGGGGGCGTCCCTGTGCCCACCCCCTCTGGAGAGGTCAGTCTCCCACCCCCCAGGTCCTCCAGCCAGTTTGACCCACCCAGTGGCTTCACACTTACACTCTGTCCGCATCATGTGACCAGTCACGTGACCTATTAGCAGTAAAAAGTTAGCGTGCGACTACTGCAATATTTCCAGCCGCTACCGTGGAAACCATGCATTTGGGGTGGGGGGGGGTGGGGGAATTGCTGGCTCCTGGTTGGAGGGGGGGAGGTGGAGCATAAAGTCTGTAAACAAGGTGATGTAATGTGCATGACATCAGCACGCTGACCTGGGAACTGTGCTAATCCAGGACTGCATTGTACGTGCATTTCCTCAGGTGGGGTTGGAGTGAGATGGGGGGTGTGGGGGGGGGGGGCACTCTGGGGGTTCCCCTACACAATAAACCCTTCCATAGGGTCACATTCCGGCTCCGGTTTCTCTCTGACCGACGCTGTTTCCCCATCTCCTGTCCCCCAGCTCATCACCCCCCATGCCATCCGCGTACAGACCCCTCCCAGACACATCCCGGGCGTGGTGGAGGTCACCCTCTCCTACAAGTCCAAGCAGTTCTGCAAAGGCACCCCCGGCAGGTTCATCTACACAGGTGAGAAAGACGCCGTTTCAGCCGGCATTTACAGCCATTTTTCCCATAATGCCTTAGGAGTATACTTAAATTAAACGATGCATCCATCCATCTATCCACTATGAGGTCACAGTCAGCCTGGAGGCTAGGCACCCTGGCTGGGGTCCCAGTCCATCGCAGGGCTCACTGACGCACACGGCCACCGAACTGTGGGCAGTTGTGACTCACTGGCTAGCACTGTGGTCTCACACCTACAGGGTTACAATCGAACCCGCAACCCTGAGGGTTTGACACCGCAGTCCTACCCACTGAGTTACAGTGTCACAAGAAAAGGCCGGCGGATCCCTGGAAAGTCTACATTAGCGAGTCTTAAAAGACTCCCGCTGAACACGGACAGATTTCCCCCACAGAATCCATCCTATATTTAATCTCCGTGGGAGTTTAATCTCAGTCACTCTGCTCTCGTGAAGTTATAACACCCGGTATGAATCATAGATAACGGTCGTGTGCTCTTTATCTCTGCAGAAAGGTGGGTAGGGTCGGGGTGAGGGGGCG